CAAGAATCAAACCAAAGATTCGACAAAAAACACCCAACTGGAAAAGCAAAATGAAAAAAGAATCCGAAAGTGTGAAGATAGTGTAAGGAGCCTCTGGGACAGCTTCAAGCGGACTAATATCAGAATAATAGGGGTGCCAGAAGATGAGAGACAGCAAGATATTGAAAACCTATTTCAAGAAATAATGGCAGAAAACTTCCCCCACCTGGAGAAAGAAATGGACTTACAGGTCCAAGAAGCGCAGAGAACCCCAAACAAAAGGAATCCAAAGAGGACCACACCAAGACACATCATCATTAAAATGCCAAGAGCAAAAGACAAAGAGAAAATCTTAAAAGCAGCAAGAGAAAGAGGCTCAATTACCTACAAGGGAATACCCATACGACTGTCAGCTGATTTCTCAACAGAAACTTTGCAGGCCAGAAGGGAATGGCAAGAAATATTCAAAGTGCTGAATACCAAGAACCTACAACCAAGATTACTTTATCCAGCAAAGCTATCATTCAGAATTGAAGGTCAGATAAAGAGCTTCACAGATAAGGAAAAACTAAAGGAGTTCATCACCGCCAAACCAGTATTATATGAAATGCTGAACGGTATCCTTTAAGAAGAGGAAGAAGAAGAAAAAGGTAAAGATACAAATTATGAACAACAAATATGCATCTATCAACAAATGAATCTAAGAATCAAGTGAATAAATAACCTGATGTACAGAATGAACTGGTGACTATAATGAATCAGGGACATAGAAAGGGAATGGACTGACTATTCTTGGGGGAAAAGGGGTGTGGGAGATGCGGGAAGTGACTGGACAAAAATCATGCACCTATGGATGAACTCAGTGGGTGGGGAGTGAGGGTGGAGGGTGGGGTGGGAGCTGGAAGGAGGGGAGTTTTGGGGGGAAAAAAGAGGAACAAATGTAATAATCTGAACAATAAAGATTTAAAAAAAAAAAAAAACACATCTTTCGCCGAAACCGGTTTGGCTCAGTGGATAGAGCGTCGGCCTGCAGACTGAAAGGTCCCAGGTTCGATTCCGGTCAAGGGCATGTACCTGGGTTGCGGGCACATCCCCAGTAGGAGATGTGCAGGAGGCAGCTGATCGATGTTTCTCTCTCATCGATGTTTCTAGCTCTCTATCTCCCTTCTTCTCTGTAAAAAATCAATAAAATATATTTTAAAAAAAAAAACACATCTTTCATATCCTAAGTCAAGGGACACTGTGGTAGTCTTCTAAAATAATGCTGCCCTCCTCAGACTCAGATCTTGGCCCCACTGTTCACTAGCTCTGTGACCTTGGGCAGCTTATTTCATGTCTCTGAACTTCAGTTATTTCATTTGTAAACTGTTACCTACCTCACAGAGCTTTTTTTAAAAAAAAATATATGTTTTTATTGATTTCAGAGAGGAAGGGAGAGAGAGATGGAAACATCAATGATGAGAGAGAATCATCGAGCCCACAACCCGGACATGTGCCCCTGACCTGAATTAAACCCGGGACCCTTCAGTCTGCAGGCCAACACTCTATCCCAAGCATGTCAAACTCAAAGGCTGACACTGGCCAAATAAACAAGGTTTAAGTTGATGTGGGCAACAAAAAAACAAAAGCTTCCATTTTCATAGAAACAGTTTTATTTCCATAGAGACATGCTGAATACAAAGGACTAAAATAAATGAGTAATCATTAACATAAAATAGTAGAACATTTTAATAAAAATATTTTTAACATTAACTTAACAAGCACTGAATAACTGCACAAATTAATAAGTGTAATGCAAATAAACCTATTCTTCTTGTTCTCCGAAAGCGAAATATTTCCTGTTGCGCACACCAAACAAGTCAGTCCAAACTAATGACATGGCAATCGGCTGCTAAAATATTCACTGCTAGTATTAGTGGAGAGAAGTGGTGCGCCTGCACATAGGCACGTAAGGGAAATGATTATAGTAATCAGTCGTTAGAAAATGTTGTAGTTCGTTATTAATAATTATATATAACAGGATATTGTAAAAATTAAGTGATGAAATTATTATTAAAACGTTTTTTACATACCATTATATTGGCTGGGCCACAAAACTATTCGTTGTAGGCCGCATGCGGGCCGCGAGTTTGACACACTAGCTCTATCCACTGAGCCAAACCAGCTAGGACTCACAGAGCTTTTTTAAGCTGGCCAGGCTAGCTCCATATTCCTCCAGTACCCTTTCCTTGAATACCCTGGGTAGACTAAACTGCCATTTTATGTATTCTCATCTTGCCACATGTTTCCATAAGTCATAATACTTGATAGCTGCATCAGACTGAAATGATTCCTATACAGGACTGTCTCTCCAGAGACTAGCCTACAGCTCCTTAAGAGTAAAAAGTTTTTTCTGCTTTGTTTACCAAGGTTCTAGTAAAATACCTAGCAAACAATATGCATCACCCACTAAAACAGATATCAGTTCTGGAGTGTTTTTCTACCTGAATGTGTTTTGTCACTTTACCTTGAAATTGCTTAGCTGTGAATTGATAAGGTTAGTTGTTTGTTTTCTCAGAAGTGAAAGTTCTTATTCTATTTTTCTTCTCCCACCCAAAAGAAATACTGGGTTTTCTTTCATATTTATGGAGTTCCGCAAAATTTTATGCTTGTATAGTTGCTTCACATTTATTTCCCTTTCTCATCTGCTTTCTATTTAAGGACAGTTGTCAAAAATACATGATGGGAAGGAAAGACTCAAATGGTTTTAGAGTCAGGGAATCCTATCCTTCTCATCTTTGTCATATTGGGTTTTGATGAGAAAGAGAGAGGACAGGAAAACCAGTATTTGGAAATGCTATGAGGCAGCATAGTCAGTGCCTGTGCTGGCTGGGGCGTGGCAGGGCAGAATGTCAAGGTGGCATCCACCTGCCATTTCCCGCCTCTTTTTTGCTGTTACCTACTTCTAAGGATGCAGCGACTAGGACAGTAGGCATGTGCACAGGCACAAGCAAACCCAAGGATTGGTGCCCAGACCCCATTGTTGTGTGTTCTACCTAAATTTGTAAATGAACATGCCTGGGTCTTGCTTTTCAGTAAAGATTCTCTAGTAAATGTGAAAGATGCTGTTTGGTGGAAGACCCTGGTAATTCTGCAGATGCACAAAGACTTTATTCTGTGACTACCTGGGTTTATAAAAAGTTCTTTCTAATGATATTACAAAGAGATTTAGCACATTGTACACCATGTGCCAGGTTTCCAGAACATGTTCTCCACGACTTATCTGATACTGCTTCTTCTGCCCAGAACTCTCTTCCCATCTTTCTTTGTCAAGTAACTGTTTGCAGTCCAGAACAAATGGATACAACATACCTACACAAGAATTCATACAAATTGGAGGTGAAAATGTCCAGTAGGACATTGGATTCATCACTTAACTCATATTTGCTGAATACTGCCCATGTACTAAGCTTAAGTAGAAGAGGAAGATAATATGTATGGGGCACACACATACATGTTTATATGTATATAATTTCATTCCATGTTCATAATAATCCTGGGAGATGACACCATCCTTATTATACATCAGGAAATGTGTTCTTAGTTGTTACGTAATTTTCTTAAGATCCTCCAGCCTGTCACTGGTGGAGCCTGGATTTGTCTGACCCTGAACCTGTGTGCTACATCATATTACAGTGAGCAAATTAAAGAATAAATCATTTTTGCCCTAACCGGTGTGGCTCGGTGGATGAGCATCGGTCTGTGGACCAAAGGGTCCTGGTTTCAATTCTGGTCAAGGGGACATACCTCGGTTGCAGGCTCCTCCCCGGCCCTGCCCCGGCCCAGGTCCTGGTCAGGGCTCATGCAGAAGGTAATCAATCGATGTATTTCTCTCACACTGATATTTCTCTCTGTCTTTTCCTCTCTCTTCCACTTTCTCTAAAAAATCAATGGAAAAATATCTTCAGGTGAGGATTTAAAAAATAATAATTAATGTTTTTAAATTTGGGTTAATAAGGTGCATCAAAAACTAGTGATGGTGTAAGGGAGACAGAAACTGTTGTAGATTGACAGAAACTAAGTGGTGATAATAGATACAACATTTAAGAATTCAGATGTGAGTCCATAGTGGTACTCAAAAAAATAAAAAGAAATGGGAAAAGTTCTTTACAAAAGAACGCTAGTGGAGAAGGAATGTTAGAATATTTAAAATCACCAGGCAAAGATCACCAATGGATACTAACACCAGTGGATGAAAGGGTGATGGAAGCAGGATCGTTCCATGTTTCCACATGTCACCACACAGATTACTTATCAATTACAAAGGGGAACGTATCTCTTTACAGCACAGAAATGAGTGGGCACCACGTTAACCAAGCAGTTTAGCCAGTGTCACCAGGAAAGAGGCAGCCTGACTGTATCTATCCTGACCAGGTGCAGTGAGAGGGGCACAGCATTACCTACACGGTATTCTTGTTAAACAAGTGTTCACTGTGAATCTAATCATGGGAAGACAGACAAATCCACAATGGGAGATGTTTAGCAAAACAAGCAGCCTGGACACCTCAGTGAACCAGCCAGATGCAGTGCAGGAACCTTGATTAGATCCTACATCAAGGGTGGGGCCACTGGAAGAACTCACCTTCTTCAGTGAAAGGTGCTTTAGAGCTTCCTCTTCATCTCAAGTCTCCATCACCACCACCCTAAGATGATACAGGAGAGCCAGTGGCCCTCCCCTTGAAGTGCAGTCTTGTTACTTCTCATATTTAGTGAAGTTTTGCCACTCTCAGACCAGGGCTCTCACCTGGCCTCCATCAAATCCTTGACCTTGTTGACTTTCTATACCCCTCCTCTGGCTCCCTGGCCTGCATGGGGGGAGGGGCACTGTCCCTCCTTTCACTGAAATGAGCAGCGGCTGCCTTGGGTGCTTAGATATCCCTTCCATCAGTGCCTTCTCCCTCCCTGCACCTCCATCATCCACACAGCATGGATTCAGTTCCTATCGTTTGTCATAGAACTTTGCTTTTTTGCTTATCTTGCAGGTTCAAGTGTGAATGGCCTGGAGGAGCCCAGCATTGCCAAGAGACTGAGGGGCACTCCTGAGAGGATTGAGCTAGAGAACTACCGCCTGTCTGTGAAGCAGGCAGAGGAGCTACAGGAAGTGCCTGAGGAGACACAAGCTGAGCACAACCTGAGCAGTGTGCTAGACAAGGGCCTGGAGGAGGACGTGGCCAGCAGGTCAGCCTGTGCTGGGAGCTGAGGCCTGGTTTTCCTGTGTGTTGCGTGTACCTGTGGCTTAGCAGCCTCTTCCCCAGATAAACATGCTGCCCTACTTGGGGAAAGCAGCATAGCACCTACCAACAGCATGGGATCTGAACCAGACTGCCTGGGTTTGAATCTTGTCTGTGCCACCCACCAGCTGTGTGACACTAGTCAAGTTATGTCACCTCTGTATGCTTCTGTTTCCTCATCTGTGAAACAAGGGCAATACTAGCACCTTCCTCACAGAATTGGTGTGAGGTTTAAATAATGTATAAAGTGTTTAAAACAGTATAAGCACACCTCGTTTATTACACTTTGCTTTATTGTGCTTCACAGATGTTGCATTTTTTTCACAAATTGAAGACAAGGCCCTCTACCAACACAAAAATTATGGCTCACTTTATTGTGATACTTGCTTTAATTCAGTCACCTGGAACTGAACCCACAATATCTCTTCAAGGTCTGCTGGTGCTCAGGCACATGTAAGCACTGTCTATTACTTTGCATAATGCTGGACCATTTACAAGGGACTTCCGTCTCCATCACCTCACTTGGTCATCCTCTCAGGAATCCTGTAAAGTAGACAAGAACATGTATCTTGTCACTATACAGGTAAAGTAGTAATGGTGACTGAGTTAAGGATTAAGGATTGACTAAGATTCAAACTCATGTTTTCTGGGTCCAAGATTCTTCCTGTTTTCCCTGCTGCCTGCTGATTCCTCCTCCCCTGTTCCATTTAGATCCTTCTCTCTTCATCTTGTTAGCCAGTAAAGATCACAATCCATATGACTTAAGTCAGAGATTCAGTAAGTATTTATTGAACACCTACTATCACTTTACACTTTGCTATTCATTGAAAAGGTAACAGAAAAAATAATGACAGACATAGGTGCTGCCCTCAGGTTATTGTTTACAAACATAATGGAGGGGAAAGAATCCCACACAGGAACAACAGCAGATCTGAAGCAGTGTGCTATTGGGAGCTGGTGGTTCTGTGGAAGGAGCACCAGGGGTGAAATAGCTGGCTTCTGTTTTAACTTAGCCACCATCTCACTGTGCTATTTTGGGAAAGCTGCCTCACCTCTCTGGGCTTTATTCTTTCCCCTATACATAAAGAGAGGAGCAGAATATTTGTGTCCCAGGAGCCACACACAGCAGCCAGTGGTTTTATTCTTGGCCAGTCCCAGTGTTTTAATTATGTTTAACTGAGTGATTCCTTTGGGGAACATGCATGCTCCAACCCCTACCACACCCCTGTGTTTGCTGTCTTTACCCAAGGGCTTTATTCTTATTACCTGCCCAGGCCTGCCAGTGTCAGTACAGAAGGATTCAAAGTGCTCAATAGAAGTTTATCAAGGAGCTAGAGAAACAAATATATAGCAATATAAAAGAGAAACAAACATTAAAAAAGGAATGCAAACAAGATAACTTTTTTTTTTTAAGATGGAATAATATTGGTATTGGCCAGACTCTCCTGCAGAGCTGCCACAGTGGGCCCACTTCCCATGGCCCCAGACTGATGGACACACACTTCTTTGTAGCCATGAGAAAGGGAACATGTGGGGATAAAGAAAACAGCTTTTTTTTTTTTTTCAAGTTCAAAGAATGTTTTTACGAAGCTGTTTGCTGGAAGATCTCCATTCAGCTGCAGTCCAGCACCTCATCCCTGGTGCCAGACATACTCTGGATGGACTGCCTTTGGGGCTGGCCCCACCAACAGCTTTTCCATGCATTCTGGGGCAGCCTCCCCCTTGGTACCTGCATTTCTGCAGTCATCACTACATGCATGTTGTTGTCGTGCATCCCTGCCCATAGAGACATACCACTCCCTGCTGCATCCATGAGGAAGAGTCCTTGCTTACAGTCAAAGCAGAGCTGGTGGTATGGCCTCAGGTATGGGCCCGATCACTTTCCTGCGGGAATAATTTGTTCTCCGCTGTCATTTATAAACTGGAAACTAATGGGCAACAAGTTGAGACAAAGTAGGAAGGGCATTCCAGGAAGGCTAAGTCATGCCTCTATAGCAGGGTGTGATTGGATGGGTAGCATAGGAGAATATGATATCAGTTAACATCAAACAGTACAATAAATGCCTTTATCTTAAATTTGAGTTTAAAAAAATAAAAGAAACAACTAGCATTAGCTGCATACAGAATAAAACATGGTGTCTTAAAGGTGAAATGCTCTGAGGAAGGAGCAGGAGACTTGGCCTTGTTTCCCACAGGAAAGCAATGGCACATATTTTTTCCATCTTCCCTGCAGCACCAAGAAGTTAGGTGCATTTTCAGCCCTCAGTCCTTCCTTGATGAGGTGTTGGTCTTAAAAATGAGAAATGACAGAGTTTTAAAGAATTAAGCAGTCCAATCCAGAAACTCACTTTTTTTGTTGTTGTTGTTAATCCTTACCTGAGAATATTTTTTTCCATTGATTTTTTTAAAGAGACTGGGAGGGAAGAGGGGAGGGAGAGAGAGACAGAGAGAGAAACATCCATGTGAGAGTGACACATCAATTGGTTGCCTCCCACATACACCCCAACCAGGGCTGAGGATCAAACCTGCAACCCAGGTACGTGCCCTTGACTGGGAATTGAACCCACAACCCTTTGGTGCACAGGCCAACACTAACCACTAAGCACACCGGACAGGGCCAGAAACTCACTCTTGACTAGTTTAAAGAACTCTAGGTGTCTACTATGGGAGGCCAGTGCAGTGTGATGTTTCAGAACATGACTTTGTAGTCAAATCAGAACTTAATCCTAGCTCTGCTAGATGTAGGCAAGTTACTTTGTCTTTCTGTGCCTCAGTTTCCTCAACTACAAAGCACACTTCATGGGTTTGTTATGAGGATTAAATCAAATAAAGCAACTGACAGTGTCTGGCACCCAGTGAGCACTGACTCACTGGCAACAGTTACTGTTACTGCTCTCCTTAGCTCCACACACAATGTAGGTGCTCCTCACCAGGAGGGACAGGCTGGGCTTCTTCCATTCATTTCCTTAAGTAGTTTATCTGCCAGGAATTGGCTTTGGCTCAAAACCACTTGCCATAGGGAAGTGCTCATCAAAAATTGCCTGCATCAGAATTGCCACAAGGACTTATTAAAGCACACGTTGCTGGGCAGTTTCTGATCCAGTCAGTATGGGCAGAACCCAAGATATCTATTTCTAAAAGGTTCTAGTGATGCTGTGTTCTAGAGACCCCACTTTGAGGTCCACCACTCAAAATTTTCCTGATGAAAACACCACATGGGACACTTAGTAAAAAGATGATTCCTGGGCCCTCCCCTGGAGTATCAGATATAGTGGATTTGGGATGGAGGCCAGGAATATCTGTTTTTAACAGACATTGGGTAATTCTTACCATGGGCTTCGTGAGTCAGTTCACACAATTGGAGACTCTAGCTCAGGCCTGATCAGCTTATGACCCTTTTCTGGAGTAAGGGAGTGGGAGCATCTTCCCAAGGAGATCCTGGAAATAGTACTTTTATTTTCTTTGGAAGAGACCAAGTGCCCAAAGACCAGAGAAAACTGGCTTTATGATTTTTGTTTTGTTTCTCCCTGATTGCTTATCTGGAAGACTTTGCTTCAGGCAATGAAGATGGCTTGTGCAGTGCCCCTCTGCTGAAATCTTTAGTGTTTATACATTCCTGGCTCTAAAGAACAAGTCAGTAAGAGCTGGAGCAGACAGCTCCAAATGGGACAGCCAAGGTTGTCCTGTCTGGTGCCCCAGAATTCTATGACAGGCCAGCACACAGGGCCTTGCCCTCCATCTGAGAAACACCACCAGGAAAAGCCTCTCCTTCAGGGCTGACTTTAAATATGTGGAAATTCTTGACTGTTCCTCTCTCTCTCCTGCCACACCCCTCCTCCAGCAGAAGCAGTAATGTGAGTCATTACTGAGCAAATGCCAGTTTTAGCATGCATTAAATTTCCACCATGTAAAAGATTGCTGGACGATGTTAATCCCCAGTAGTCTGCTCAGCTGGGGAGTGTTTACATGGTTGTCAGAGTGGGTGGGATCTAAGAGTGGTCAAGCAGGACAGAAGATTATACAGAGCCCTGACCAGTTTGGCTCAGTGGATAGAGTGTTGGCCTGTGGACTGAGGGGTCCCAGGTTCAGTTCCGGTCAAGGGCATGTACCTTGGTTGCGGCCACTTCCCCAGTAGGGGGTGTTCAGGAGGTGGCTGATCGATGCTTCTCTCTCATCGATGTTTCTAACTCTCTATCCCTCTCCCTTCCTCTCTGTAAAAAATCAATAAAATATATTTTTTTAAAAAAGATTATACAGAGATTCACTGATTATAAGTACATTAATTTAAAAGTGAAAGCCATGATTCCCCATTTTCCCTTGAAAACATCCAGGAACTTCAAGTGGAATTACATACAATAGCTTGGTTTATTCGTAGCAGAGCCTGCCCAAATCCCTGGTCTCCACATTCTGAGGTTTAACCCAGGCATCCAGGACTTGCTGCTGCTGCTCCTCCTGGTTTGCTACCCTGACAGCTGCTAGTGGCTAAAAAACTCTTGGGTTCTTGGAGAACCACTCAGGAGGGCACAGCATGAGATGGTATGGTCACTAAGGGGAACCCTGATTTCTTACACAAATGACCCAGCATCTTTACATGTCAGTTTCTGCATTTATAAAAATGGGGATAATTATAATAGCCATGTCTTAGAGTTATAGTGTAGTTCTGTGAGCTAATATGTGTGCAGGGCCTGAGTAGGTCACCAGGGCACAGTGTTATTGTTGTCCTGAGATCTGTCCTCCTAGACTAGCATAACCTCTGTGGAGTAAACCTCATCTTGTTAGAACCTAGTCCATGTACCCAGCTGTTTTGCTTCCTCCCACCAGACCCCGTCATGGCCTCAAAGAGAGGAAAACATACCTGAGAGTTGTTTCAGGGAAGGTGCTTTGAGATGAGTGAGTGGGTGTAAATTGTAGCATGGAGGATTTTTGCTAGATATTATTCTAACTGAAAGGGGCAGCTCCTTCTCATGGACACTTTACCAAGAAGCTTCAGAGGTACCATCTCTGACACCTGAGAACTTAGGCAGACCCTGCCCTGGATTTCTATGGTGTGGTGGTCCCTTATATTTCTTGCCCATCTTGGCTGTGTGGTGACCCAGGGGAATCCAACCTAAATCAAACTGTTACATGAAACAATATATTGTTACAAATGACAGATACCTGTTATGACAGAGAGCTGATCTTGACGACTGGATTTTCTGGCCCTCATCTCTCTTTGGAGGCTGAGTCCTAGGAGGTCGCTTGTCCTTTCTAAAGGACAGAGGAGTTGGTTGTCATTATTATGCTTTGCTCTCGTATAGTGATTCTCCCTACTTAAAGTTTCCAGGCTGTATCCAAGGAGGGTGGGGGTGTCCTACAGATTCCAGCCTCTTCAAAGGCCAGATTCAGAAATTCAGACACTAGGAGCAGGCAAGTATGTAAAATAAGCCTTGAGGTACTGAATTTACACTGGAAATCTTGCGTGATATATGGAACCTGGTCAAACCCAGAAAATTACTCCCAAGATCCTGTGGAAATGACTGCCAGGAAAGGAACACTTGGCAGCATCTGTCCTTCTCGAAGGTGGGAAGACCGGCTTGTCTGTCTCAGTTTCCAGATGCATATAGCAAAGACCTCTCAGAAATGGCCTGAGAGCTTGCCACTTATGAAGAGAGGCAAGGGTTGACCTTTCCGTCCTATTTTTTTTTCCGTCCTATTTTTTTATGCTCTGTGCCTCACTTGCTATTCTCCCAGGGCCCTTGAGCTGTCATTAAAACTAGCCACTGTGGCACTCATAGCTTTAAGGGCAGCCTCACTGCTCGCATTGTGCACAGTGTAGCCCTCCTCATGAGTACAAGGGACAGGGCTGCACTAAGGCCCCTCCCAGGAAGCTGCAGCACATCTCGTCCTGCCTGCTGCCACTGGGCAACCACTCAGGCACATAAGAAGGCCAAGTTGGCCTTCCCTCTGCCCACCTAAGACTTAAGGTGAGCATAGGAAGCATTCTTATCCTTATTTCATGTTCAAAAGCTATTGAATGACATACATTGGGCTACACGTTGTTTATTAATAAGAAAATAAACAAATGAAAATATGAAGGTTAGGTGAAAAAAATAATACCTAAGTAAATACTGAAAAATAATCAAAATCCAGATCCCAAGCTTTCTGTCTGTAGTCTAAATTCTTATATCTACCCACTTTAAACTGCTTCCTACCAATCCTCCATCCCACTACAGCATGTTTTGCCTTATTTTATCATGATGTGTTTCCATCTTATCTCCCTTGAGAATAAGGATCTTTTCTGTGTCACATTTATGTTTCCTACAATGTCTAGGAAGTGCATTATAAGTAGAAGATATTCAGTAAATTTTAGTTGGGTGAATGGATGGATAAATGAAGTAGGATTCTCCAAACAGCTGCTTACAGTAAGGAGTTGGCTCTTTTTATTTCTGTGTCCACTGGCTGAGCTTCAGTAGATGCTCAAAAATGTTGAATGAATGAATGTGTAATGAGTAACCAAATAAATGAATGGCTAGAGTCCCAGATTGTAACACAAGCACAATAAAAATCAGTAGAGTACCTAATCTCCACAACATGCCTACAAGGCAGGTACTAACACTGCCCCCTTACTGAGGCTTGGAGAGCTTAAGTAATCAGCTCAGGGTCACACATCTGGTAAGTAGCAGAGCCAACATGGCCCTATGAGGACCCACCCACCTGAGAAGTAGGAATGCAACCCACAGGAATGCCCTTACTTCTGACCCAGCTGGCATGTAGAAGTTCCACAAACCACCCTACGCTCAATAATTTGCTCAAAGGACTCACAGAATCACTGAAAGGTGTTACACAGGGAAAGGGCACCAGTTGAAGTCAGCCAAGGAAAGACAAGCATAGGGCAGAGTCCAGAAAGATTCAGGTGCAGAGCTTCCTGTGCACTCTCCTCATGCAGTTGGGACAATGTCATTTTCTTGATAGTGATGTGTGGTGATACCCATGGAGCTTGGCTCTCCAAGCCTTGCCATTTAGAGTTTTTACTGGGGCTTGGTAACTAGGCAGTGCTTTATCACAGGCAATGCTGTTGCCATTTGAAACTGATTGGTTGACTGATTGATCAATTTACCATGTGGTTGTGGTTGCTCTCCAGGTCCACTGCATGACCCAAAGCACTCACCCTAAATTGCTGGCCTTTCTGATACGGCCAGTCCTTACCCTGAATCACATTAGTAGACTATCCACCATGACCCAAGGCCCCCAGCAAAATGGGCATTCCCACCCAGCAGGGCATTCTAAGGCTAAGTTCACCTCCCAGAAGCTGAGGGCAGGGACCAAACCTCTCTTTGAGCAGGTTAAGTTCTTTACTCCATAGGCAGTGATAGCATCACAGTGTACTAACCGGCCCCTCTCTGGCTGAGGGGAGAGTTACCCACTATCACAGGAAGTGGGCCAGCCGCCCACCCATGCCTGATGCTCCTGGGTTATGAGGCTCCATCATGCCAGAAGTTGGACCATGCTTTATTATGAAAGCCCATTTCCTCCAGTCCAGTCACCTACACATTTCTCACTAAGAGAAAAGAATCTCCTGGAAAAAACTGGTAATTATCTACCATAAAACAGGTCTGAGCAAACTGTACAGCTTGTGCAGTAACATTTGGGATTTTCTTCCTGCCATGAAGCCCCACAGCGTTGTAGGGCACCAAGTGTTTTTTTTCCTCCACTTCCTGTTGTCCTGCTTCTCTCTGTGAGCAGGGAGGAGGTTGGTGCCTAAAGAGTGGAGCTCCACATTTGGGGTTTGTGTAAGTCATGGTGAGTGTTTATCACAGGCAGTGCTGCTGCCATTTGAAACTAAGCCAGGCTGTGCTGTGAAGGGAACAGTGATGGGAATGCAGCTGCTTGTCAAGAGCGATGACCCAGGGGTTGGGGTATTTCCACCCTGCCCCCACAGTCCCTGCACTGTACTGTGCGGTTAATGGGGCCTTTGCTGCCACATTACCTGTCTGTTTCCCACAGTATCCAGCTCAAGTCATGGCACATGGTGGGGACTCAAGGAACATTGTGAAATTGAGTGTGATACCTCCCCTCCAGAACCTGCATCTTGCCTGCCAGCCAGAGTGTGGTTAAGACTTTATTCATGCCTCTCATGGCAGCTCTTCCTTCCTCACCATGGCTCTCATGAGAGCCTTCCTTCCAACCCACCTGAGTCAAGTACAATTGAGTTCCTCAAACCAAATAGTGGATCATAATGAAAGGAAACTAAATCTCCATTCTTGATTCCTGGGGTCATGAATTTACATCAAAATGGGCCCACAGCCTGCAGCTTCTGAGGGCCTCCACAAGACCAGACTCTAAACCAGTGATGGCGAACCTTTTGAGCTCGGCGTGTCAGCATTTTGAAAAACCTTAACTCTGGTGCCGTGTCACATATAGAAATTTTTTGATATTTGCAACCATAGTAAAACAAAGACGTATATTTTTGATATTTATTTTATATATTTAAATGCCATTTAACAAAGAAAAATCAACCAAAAAAATGAGTTCGCGTGTCACCTCTGACACACGTGTCATAGGTTCGCCATCACTGCTCTAAACAGACCACCCACCAGACTGGGCTGTCCACTCACATGGGTTAGGTCATCATGGCTCACATGTAGGTATGCCATTTTGCCCTCTGTTCACTCTCCTCCCATCTCCTCATGTGTCTTACCTGAGCAGAGAAGTAGGCTGGTCTCTCCAAGGTTGTCCTCTCCCCGCCCAGCAGTGCTTTGTGGTACACTTTGCCTCGGATGTGGCTTTTAACCATCTCCTTCATGGTTTTGTCATTCCCTCACTTTGGTTGTGTGATTGTTTCCCCACAGCAGTTCTGAGTCTGAGATGGAGGAGGAGGAGGAGCCTCCACTGCCCACCTCGGACCTGGGTGGCGTTCCTTGGAAGGAAGCTGTGAGGATCCATGCTCTTTTAAAAGGAAAGAGTGAAGAGGAACTGGATGCCTTGAAGAGCTACGAGCTTAACAATGACAATGAGGAGGAGGACTACTACGAGGAGGAGGGAGAGGAGGACTATGACGAGGAAGAGGAGGAGTCTAGTGAAGGTCAGAAAGCAATCTCTTCTCCTATCCCGGACCCTGTCCGTCACTGAGGCAACCCGTTTTATGCCTGAGCATGAGAGGTTTCTTTGGCTGGAGTCACATAACGTGCTTACACAGAGCCCCAGAGGCATCCTTCCTGTCTCTCTCTGACCTTAGATACAGGGGCAGAGAAGACCATCGACAGTGGAAATGGTGTCCCTTGTGCACGTTCTGAGTTGAAATTGGATGGTAGAGGGTCAAGTTAGGTTCTTCATTCTCCTCTCCTCATTTTCTATTTTTTTCCCCTTTAGTTTCAGTGAATGAGGTTTATTTTAATAAAGAAAGGGAATTTAGCTTTCTAGAGGATTCCCTAACACCTAATCCTCGATATTGCAGGCTGCAAAGATTGAACCTCACATCCATGCAGAGCTGCTGTCATTGAGGAGGGAGCTGTGAGCTGGGGGCCCACTGGACAGTGTTTAGTCAATGATGTGTAGTAGCACGTTTGGACCAGTGTTCTGAGAAGGAGCATCAGTTTCAGCATTGAGTTGGTCTGGTTGGCTCTGAAATGTTCTCTTGGTTTGGACTCAAGATGTCCAACTCTGTCTCTATATCTGGTTCTGTGTGTCCTTGAGTGAATAAGGAAGAACTTGCTGGGCTTTCTTTTCTTGCCTGTGTAAGAGAGGGTCATTCTTTCCCTCTCCTGGCTGATAGGTGGTAAAGAAGAAAATGGGCAGATAGAGACCCGAGTTCCTCTGAGGGCGATGCCATGACTATTCCCTGTATGCTCGCCAGGAGGCATGGTGAGCACCAATTCCTCCAAGCCATCAGAAGAGCAGTCAGTTCTGGATAGCCTGGGCACGTGGAATTGGCACTAGATGGTTCCGCTGCCCCATCCATCCCAGGGTCTGTTTTCTCTGGCACAGCAAGGACCAAGTGTTGGCCAGACACAGAGTCCTGCCAGCCAGTATGCATGTTACTGAGTAGTCTCGGGGGGCTGTGTCACTGTAAGACCCCAAGCCTGATTAGGCACAGCAGGCAGAAAGAAAGCACATGCTGACATGACCTTGAGGTGCCCACATCAGCATGAACCGTCAGAGGCAGGACATGCACTCAGGCTCCCTAAGGAGTTTCTCTCCACCTGGTTCTTCTGCTGAGGTAGAACCCACCAGGTTGCACTGCCCCTCCCCCCTTACTCAGTTTTATGTGCAGAAGGAGGCAGCCCCTGGGTCAGGAACCTGACACTGGGTTCTTTTTTCCATATGCTGTGGCATATGGTCCATCACTGGCCTTACATCCCTGCTAGTCATAGGGGTTGAGCGTGTTCACAGCTCTTTCGGGGAAAGGTATTTTGTTTGTATCATTCCAGACATCATTATCTCCATCTGATGATTAATATGTTTGGTGGCCTGTAGCCCCAGACATGGCTTAGGATCACAGCCTATTTCCTTTGCAGGAGCATTTAGCCCTGCCTTCCCTCACACAGACTTAATTTCCCAGACCTGGACCTGGCATCAAGACCAGGGGATGGACTTTAAATAGAAAAACACACATACCAGCAAATTCTGCCAACACTGGGCCTTTGTTCTTGACTTCTAGCCTGTGTGCCTTGAGCAGTGGACTTCAGTGCCTGTGTAGACAATGACAGGACATTATTGCCTTCCACTTAAAGATAACTCTTACTCTTCTCTTTTCTCCCTGTTTATCCCCACATGGGATTCTTGTTGCTGTGCTTGTGGGTGTCTGACTCCCCCTTCTGTAGAAGGGGAGTATTGCCCCTGGGACAGAGAACTACAAGGCCAGTGGCTCCAGTGTCCGTCAAAGGAAGAAGATTCGGGTACATGTAAAGGTACCCATTCTGCCTCTTGCCCACCTTCTACCCTGGCTCCCTGGTAGCCTTCACAATCTGCCTCCAAGAGCAGGTCCCACATGAAAATATCTGTGTTATAGAGCTGCTCTGACAGGCTTTGGCACATATCCCTGGGCCCAGTCTTCATGAATGGTCATGTACAAAATAGCACATGAGACAGAGATTCAAGAGGAAGTCAGAGAAGACTCCAGAAGCAGCCTTACAATGCCCCTCATATGTTCTGCTGCAAGTTCCCCTCATCCAGTTAAGACTGGCTTCTTCTCTAATGCAGAAAACCTCACATTACATCACAACTCCCAGCAGTGGTTCAGATGCCCAGAACCTCCCTCCATGGTGCCTTTTAACATTTCCCTGGGAAAGAAAAGTGCTGGCAGATAAGTCCTCAAGGCTCCAGGAAGAAGATTCACTTCACTCTCTTCCCTTTGTTGCCAGGAGGATGAAAAGGGGCCCAGCATTTTTCTCTTTGACTTATCTTCCCTAAGACATTCATTCTGTTTGGTGACTTTGCTGTGATTCAGCCCCATCCAGCACCATAAAAACTAATTGGCCTTAGAAACATCCGTGAATCTATAGTGACCTGCAGCTCTGTGTTTAACATAGCGTACTGCCCATATCCACATTTGGTGATCTTTTTGGCACTTTCTGCCTATATCACATTTTCTGTTGCTTGTAAATTAATAGATTGTCTTTATAGTAATAAACCCAAAGCATATTATACAGTTAGATTGTTGAAAACAGGTTCCCATCAGGAATGACAGAGTCCTTCAGATCAGGTGGCACCTGCTCTTGCTGCCTGAAAAGCCATCCTCCCTTCTATAGTATCCCTTCCCCCATGTTCCTGGCTGTTCCTTTATTTTAACCCAACTGTATGGCCTGGTCCAAGCACTGATTACAGGGATCCCACAGGGCAGGGCCACATGCAGACCCCTTGGGCTCTGACAGCAAGAATAAAATGAGGGACTCTGGTGAGTTCTCATTTAGCTGAGAAACTAGGTCTTGTGACCAATGGGGCACCAAATGGAATTTAAAGACAAAGGGCTTTCACCTCAGAAAATACAGAGAGGTATTATCTACCCATGTACTTCCAAAGCTTTGGGAATTTACAGGATGGAGCTCTGCTTCCTCTCCAACCATGCCTCTCCTAATTCCATCTTCTCCCATAGCTGTATCCCTGTGTATGCAGCACGAGGCCTTTTATAGAATGGGTGGGGGATTTTTTTCTATCTCTAGCTCCAGAAGATAAAAACTAAAGTACCAAGAAAGTACATTTCTATCCTATGTGATTGGCTGGTTCATAGCAGAATGGCACTGTCCCATTCCACCTCTCTCTTGACTCAACTGTCAAAGAGAAGCATGGCAGGTGGCAGTAAGCACCTTGCTTTGTGACCAACAGAAGGAGCATTTATAGTGCATCCTCGGGGATCTCCCACTATACTGGGTAACAGCTCAGTACTCATGACCTCTAGAGAGATTGCCCTCAGGGACCAGTTGTAATGTGCTCTTTTTTTCTAATTTGGGTCCCTCGAATGCAGTTAATGTGAGAAGAGCATCAGAAAGGAAAGCTCTTTCTGAATTGGAGTTGAATGTATGAATCTCATTGAAATTAAGTGTATGTGAAACTTGAAATGACAACATCAAATTAGATGAGTAGAAGTCCCTTGTGTGTGTGTTTGCATGTGCCCACATATTCTCAATTTTTTGCCTCTTTCTGATTCATGATCCTAGCAAATATGGTAAATTTTCTGTTTCCTTTCCTGTGGTGTTTCATTCCCTCCTTCCCTTGACTGTTTATTTTCTCCTTTCTTTTTCCCCATCATCTCTCCCTTTCTCATCTCCTTTGAACCTGGTGCAGTAGCTGGGAGTCAGCGGCTACAGCAGATCATAAATGCAACCGATCCCTTGGAGATTCAGGCTGATGTGCACTGGACACATGTTCATGAGAAAGAGGAGGAGGAGCGAACGGTACCAACCTCTGAGCCCTCCACTTCTAGAGGTAACTGCTTCAGGATCCAAGGACCTGAGGCCCCTAGGAGCATATTCTGTCCCTGCAACCCCTCTGCTTGCTGCAGAGTATTTTTCTGTCAGGGCCAAAGCCATCAGTTTAATCAAATGTAAGAGCTGACAGAACATTTCATTTTCTTGGTGTTAATGGTGGCCACTGCCCTCGGCTTTTGTGTGAGAATATGTAAAGTTCTCTGTGGGTTAAGAGGTTATGGGTTCCTTCTCCCCCAAAGCAAAATAGAAAAATGAAACTTGATCTTGAAGAAATTGAGAATTGCTTTCTTTCCCTCATATTACTAGGTAGGGTTATTCTTTCTCCACTTGGTAGAATATTCTGGTCCTTTCCTCATGGAGTGTGTCTGGGTGTGAATGTGCATTGTCAGGATGGGAGCAGGGGAAGCATAGTTTGAATGGAAGTTAAGTTTTAAGAAGAAATTTGTATCAAGGAGACTCTAAGTATTTAGCATAATTTCTAATAGTTAGCTCTAAGTTGTAGGCAAGATGATCTGTGTTCCACAGTAGGATGAAGATGAACCTTATTCTGGATTCTTTTAAGGAATAGCAAGCAATAAAAGAAAAAAAGTGGAGGGCTGTGTCAACTGCCATGTCATTCTCACACCTTCTGACCTCCCCATACCCATCTTCTAAATACAGATCATCAACCTCTGTCTCTTCCTGTTTGGAACTGATGGAGAGCCACACACCATGCAAGTCTCTGAGTATACAAGGGGGTGGTCCCTGCATTCATGAAACAGCCTTTAATGGGGTCATTTGATTCTCCTCTGCCCCAAATCTTCACCTACTGGCAAAAACAACCTCAGTTAACTATTTCTACAGCAATATAAATGTATCCAGAAGCGTCCTGACTAATATGGCTCAGTTGATTGGGTGTCGTCTGATTCGATTCCTAGTTAGGGCACATGCCTGGGTTTCGGGCTTGATCCCCAGTAGGGGGCATGCAGGAGGCAGCCGATTGATGTTTCACTCTCATTGATGTTTTTCTCTCTCTCTCCCTCTCCCTTCCTTTCTCTAAAAATCAATTTTATCTTTTTTTGTTGGTTTATTAATGTACTTAGAAGTTATGCAGGAGTGGAAGAGAGAGACCCTGCTGACCTGGGACAATGTCACACTGCCCTGCAATATAGAGCTATCTCTGCAGCCTTGAAACTGTATTGCCCCTCCCTGTGTTCCCTGTGTTTTCTTTCCTCTCCTGGACTGATACCCTGGTCAGTTCTGGATAGGCCCCTGGCCGTAACATCATCTTAGTTTCTCTTTTGTTTTGGACTTTAGGGTTGTCCTCAACTTTCCTCACTGGGAACACTTATTCCTGTGTAACTTTGTATTTATCGTCTGTTTTAAATTCAGTGCCTGACCTTCCCTCCATACGCCGTGCAGCAGTTCAGGCCTGGCTGGAGACAGTGTCCGGAGGTAGTCTGGTGATGTTTGTTCTCTTTCCACTCACCATAACAACTGTTTCTTGGCAGCTCTGCTGATATCTTAACACTAGAATTCTGATCCTACCACTAGTGCATGCCAAAGGCGGAGGGTGGGGGAATGTGCATGCCTCACTCAGGCAGCCCATCCTTGCATGGACAAGACACGCACCCCACATTCTTCAGGGAAGATCCAGAGGCAAGCAGTAAGTATAGGCAGGACAGAGACAGACACTGATTTTAATTAACAGAGGTTGGGTAAAAGCCAAAGCTAAAGAAACATTTTTAGCACTGAGCTCTAAAGTCTGTAGAAGTTAATTGAGTGTGAAAGTAAAGGAATAAAAAAAATAAAGAAATCAGTTAATATTCCACAAACCTACTGAAATATTAGAGGAGGAGGCAGTCGGTACTCAGGGGGACCGATGGAAAACTTATCTGTGAAAAGGGGAAAGCAAAGGAGGGCAGGTGTTGTTCAGCTAAAAGCAGATGGACATGCTGGGCATAATCAGCTGGGTCCTCAGACTAAGGTGAAAGTATCTCTTTAAGTAATTAAGCCAAGGGGTAGCTAAGAAACCTCAGTTGTCCTTCTGAAGCTTTTCTGGAGAGGTGTTTCTCAACGAGGGGGTTCCTGGCATTTTGGGGCAGGACAGTTCTTTTCATTGCAGGATGCTTAAAATCCTTGGCCTCTACCCTCTAAATGTCAGTGCAGTCTCCACTCCCACTCCCATCCATAAAGCAACCAAAAGTTGGTTGGATGGTTAACAATACCAGTTAACACTCAGGGAAGGGCAGAAGTGACCCTGGGTGAGAACCAGTATGCCAGTGGTTATTTCTGGGATGGGCAGGATTGGAACTCATGGATCTTACCACCAGCCTCTTCCCATCCAGCACATTGTCCTCACAGGCAGCAGAGGAAAGGGGCATGAGCACACCATTAGAGGCACCTTCCTGCATACAGCAGGGAGAACTCAACCAGAGTCTTAGCTCTGAGTATAGGAACTGCTGCTCACTCTCTCCTAGTCAGTTTGTATCTCCAGAATGGTTGAACAAGACTGAAGTGTCAGGACTTCCTAGCTGGCGGTTAAGTGTGGCAGTGATTTCTGGCTTCCATAGTGTGTGGCAGCTTCTAGCCCCCTGCACTCCATCTTAACCTGGCTCTAATCCCCAGTTCCATCCCCCAAGCTGTGTCTCTCAACATCTGGTGCTGTACTGATACTCCTCACTTATTTGTGTTGATATATGTGACAATGGTTCTTCTCAAGGACTATAAACTTCTCACCCATCTGACTCTCCAACAGACCTTTCTTAGTAGAAACTCATAATGAGAAACACGTGAGTATGAGGGTCAGGCCTGTGCTGAAGCTGATGCATTGCAGTGTGCCTTGCCCTATGCAGATGAGGTGTCTGGTCCTTGGTCTCCTCTGTGCTTACCAACAATAGTGCAAAGTTACCACCTGATACCCAGGCACTCAGAGTCATTTGAGCACACGTATTGGCACAATGAGCCTCTCCACGACAGGCCCAGGTTGAGTTCCCTCCAGGTTGGGGTGGTGCCAAGGAGAAAGATTCTAGGGAAGGAGCAGTGTCTGCCAGCCTTGTCAGCACTGGGGTAGTACAACCATGAACTTGCTCTCTAGACAGAAAGCTCAGGTGTGAGGAGCACAGAGATTTGTCTGTACCTCAGAGGTCCCACTTTCTGGTGTTGATAAACTGACTTCCTTGAGTGACCAATGGCAGTGTTACCACACAGAGGTTTTAAAGCTGTGGAAATATTTGGGTAGTATCCCTCAGTCTTTTCTCAGCAGATGCCATTGTCATAGGAATGCATCTTGGCTTTGCCAGCTCTGTGAGCTGCTCTGCTATCTCAAGGGGGAATGTGACATAATCGGTTTGCCAGTCTAGAACTTGTCCTGGAACACTCCAGACCTCTTTAGTATAGTTCTCCAAAGCTGCATGTAAAAACCAGCACCCACTTTTTAGTAAGCTCAGTAAACACAGGATGGTACACAGCTTTTAAGGAATTATTAAAAGCAAAAAGTCAAGAAATAAAACATTGCCAGTGTCTTCAAAGTGCCCCTTCCCTTCTTCCTACCCCAAAAGGTAGGCACTTCCTTGATTTTCACTGTACCCTGACCCCAGGGACCATGCTTATGTTTCTGCCACACTCACTCTGCACAACCTTCAGGTATGGGGTACAGATTCACAAGGCTGGCCTGTGAGCAGACAGTGGCCCAGTCATTACATAGCTGTCCTCTCAAATTCAACATAACCTTGTAAGAAATCCATCCAGCTGTGCTACAGCCAGATCCTCTGCTACCCACCTTCCCTTGGGCTTTGATCCTCAGGCTCTTGTATTTGCAAACAAGAGCATAAGCCCTTTTCCTAAATGAAAACCTTTAAGAATGATTTGAGGGAGATTAAAAATGGTGGCAGAGTAAGTGGATGCTGCACGGACACACTGCAAGGACCAAACTGGAATTACAACTAAAATACAGAAAAACTTACTGAATAATCAACAGAAGACTTGCTGGAGAGAACCCTGATAATCAAAGATGGAAAGTGGAGACTGCATAGAGACTGGTAGGAGGGGTGGAGGCGTGAAAGGACTGGCCGGGCTGCCACAGACAGCAACTGAAGTTCCAGAGAGATATCTTAGCTGTGAGGGGATGCCACTGAGAATTCTGGGGTCAAATCCCCAAGCTGGGCCCCCAAACAGAAAGCACCAGAACTGAGAGTGGTACCTACATAACATCTGGATGTGAAAAGCAGCCGGATTGCTGTCTGCCAGGGAGAGATGACTGGAAATGCAGGCACCCTCTTAAAGGGCTAATGCACAACTGAAGCTGATGCAGTGCAGTATACCTTGTGCTCCAGCAGAGAGAGGGCAGAGTGGATTGGAGCTGTGTGAGCAGAAGCCAGGATCAGGAACTCTGGGGTTAGAACTCAAAAGGCAGACACCCCAATGTCCTATGCTGAGTCATTCCCTCAAGCTGCAGAGATCATTTTATCATGCAGACATTTGCTATACAGGCAGCTTTGCCTGGGGGGAAGACAGTTGACCTACCCCAGTGGTCGGCAAACTGTGGCTCTCGAGCCACATGCGGCTCTTTGGCCCCTTGAGTGTGGCTCTTGCACAAAATACCGACTTCTGCGCATGGGCCACGAAGTTTCAATCGCACTGTACATGCGTGCCCGCACGTGGTATTTTGTGGAAGAGCCACACTCAAGGGGCCAAAGAGCCGGATGTGGCTCGAGAGCCGCAGTTTGCCGACAACTGACCTACCCTATTGGAAACACCTTGCCGCCCCCCCATGAGGGAGTTTCTGAGGCCCCATTAAGAGACTGAGAATAACAATTAGCTCTCCAGGCAAAAGCAATTGCCCCACCCTGTTGAAAAAACACTTACCACACCTGTGGAGGATTGCCTGAGGGATATTCAAGACTGAATCCTATCAGTTGGTAGACAGGTGATCTCTGGAGGGTTAGATTCTTTGGCTGATCTAATTAGTTAGAAACAGCATTTGACACTGTCCACACTAGAGATTGAGAGGCATAGCAGATCAACCTAATACATAGACACAAACCCAAACAGGCAGCCAAAATGAGGGTACAAAGAAACAACCCCCAAATGAAAAGCGAGAATTCTCCAGAAGAGATAAATGAAATGGAGATAAGAAATGTATCTGATATAGAGTTCAGAATAATGATGGTAAAGATGCTCAACAGCATGAGAAAAGATATAGTAACTATGAAAACAGGAAATAAAGGATATCAGAGCACAAAGAACACATTGGAAGGAATGCACAGCAGATTAGAGGAAGTTCAGGATTGAATTAGTGAATTAGAAGATAAGGTTGAGAAAAATCACTCACTCAGAGAACCAAGAAGAAAAACAAGAGGACAGCTTAAGGGAGCTGTGGGACAACATGAAATGTAACAATATTTGAATAGTAGGTGTGCCAGAAGAGGCAGAAAGAGAGAAAGGGATAGAGAACATGTTTGACGAAATAATGGCAGAAAGCTTCCCTAACCTGGTAAAGGAAAAAGTCACACAGTCCAGGAGGCACAGAAACCCCAAGCAAGAAGAACCCAAACAGGCCCATGCACAGAAACATCATAATTAAAATGACAAAAATTAAAGAGAGAATCTTAAAGACAGCAAGAGAAAAGCAAACTATTACCTACAAAGGAGCTCCCATAAGGCTGACACCTGATTTATCATCAGAAACTCTCAGGCCAGAAAGGAATAGCATGAAGTACTCAAGGTAATGGAAAGCAAGGATCTGAAACCAAAATTACTTTGAGTGAAAGGCTATCATTCAAAATAGATGGTGAAATAAAGAGCTTCCTAGATAAAAAAGGGCTAATGGAATACATCACCACCAAGCCAGCATTACAAGAAATGCTAAAAGGTCTGCTGTAATGAGAAGAAATAAAGGGAGAAATCTAGGGATACAGAATTAAAATGGCAATAAATAAGTACCTGTCAGTAATAATCATAAATATAAATGGACTAAATGCTCCAATTAAAAGACACAGGGTAGCTGAATGGATACAAAAACATGACCCAACTATATGTTGTCTACAAGAGACCTGCCTCAGAACAAAACACTCACACAGGATAGAGAGTGAAGAGATGGAAAAACATTTTCCATGCAAATGGAAATGAAGCAAAAGCTGGAGTAGCAATACTCATATCTTACAAAATAGACTTCAAAATGAAGGCCATCACAAGAGAAAACAAAGGTCACTACATAATACTAAAGGGATCAATCTAACAAGAGGCTATAACCCTGGTAAACATATATGCACCCAATATAGGAGCATCTAAACATATTAAAAAAAAAAAAAACTTCTAGAGGCCCTAGTCAGTTTGGCTCAGTGGATAGAGCGTCAGCCTACTGAGCAGAGGGCCCCAGGTTCAATTCTGGTCAGGGGCACCTAACTCGGTTGCAGGTTCCTCCCCAGCCTGGGCCCTGGTCAGGGCGCATGCAG